GGCTCCGGTTTACTAAACTGGCGGGCTCCGGGTGTTTGACTGGTCGGGCTCCAGGTGGGTGTCTGTCCAGCTTCGGGTGGGTTCTCGGTAGGGCTTGGGGTGGGTTCTTGGTAGGTATTAGGGCTGGGTTCTTGGTAGGGCTTGGGGGTGGGTTCTTGGTAGGGCTTGGGGTGGGTTCTTGGTAGGTATTAGGGCTGGGTTCTTGGTAGGGCTTGGGGGTGGGTTTTGGTAGGGCTTGGGGGGTGGGTTCTCGGTAGGGCTTGGGGGGTGGGTTCTCGGTAGGGCTTGGGGGGTGGGTTCTTGGTAGGGCTCGGGGTGGGCTCTTTCGGGATCGGGATAGGCTCTCGGGCTTGGGGAACCTCTGTAGGGCTCGGGGTAGGTTCTTGGTCGGGCTCAGGGTGGGTTCTCGGTAGGGCTCGGGGCGGGCTCCAGGTACTCAACTGACGGGTTCCAGTTCACTCAACTGGCGGGCTCCGGTTCACTCAACTGGCGGGCTCCGGTTTGCTAAACTGGCGGGCTCCGGGTGTTTGACTGGTCGGGCTCCGGGTGGGTGACTGTTCGGGCTCCAGGTGGGTGTCTGTCCAGCTTCGGGTGGGGTCTTGGTAGGGCTTGGGGTGGGTTCTTGGTAGGTATTAGGGCTGGGTTCTTGGTAGGGCTTGGGGGTGGGTTCTTGGTAGGGCTTGGGGGTGGGTTCTTGGTAGGGTTTGGGGTTGGCTCCTGGTCAGGCTCGGGGTGGGCTCTTTTGGGATCGGGATAGGCTCTCGGGCTTGGGGAACCTCTGTAGGGCTCGGGGTAGGTTTTTGGTCGGGCTCAGGGTGGGTTCTCGGTAGGGCTCGGGGCGGGCTCCAGGTACTCAACTGACGGGTTCCTGTTCACTCAACTGGCGGGCTCCGGTTCACTCAACTGGCGGGCTCCGGTTTACTAAACTGGCGGGCTCCGGGTGTTTGACTGGTCGGGCTCCGGGTGGGTGACTGTTCGGGCTCCAGGTGGGTGTCTGTCCGGCTTCGGGTGGGTTCTTGGTAGGGCTTGGGGTGGGTTCTTGGTAGGTATTGGGGCTGGGTTCTCGGTAGGGCTTTGGGCTGGGTTCTCGGTAGGGCTTGGGGCTGGGTTCTCGGTAAGGGCTTGGGGCTGGGTTCTCGGTAGGGCTTGGGGGGGTGGGTTCTCGGTAGGGCTTGGGGGGTGGGTTCTCGGTAGGGCTTGGGGGGGTGGGTTCTCGGTAGGGCTTGGGGGGGGGGTTCTCGGTAGGGCTTGGGGGGTGGGTTCTCGGTAGGGCTTGGGGGGGTGGGTTCTCGGTAGGGCTTGGGGGGTGGGTTCTCGGTAGGGCTTGGGGGGGTGGGTTCTCGGTAGGGCTTGGGGGGGTGGGTTCTCGGTAGGGCTTGGGGGGGTGGGTTCTCGGTAGGGCTTGGGGGGTGGGTTCTCGGTAGGGCTTGGGGGGGTGGGTTCTCGGTAGGGCTTGGGGGGGGGGTTCTCGGTAGGGCTTGGGGGGGTGGGTTCTCGGTAGGGCTTGGGGGGGTGGGTTCTCGGTAGGGCTTGGGGGTGGGTTCTCGGTAGGGCTTGGGGGGTGGGTTCTCGGTAGGGCTTGGGGGGTGGGCTCTTTCGGGATCGGGATAGGCTCTCGGGCTTGGGGAACCTCTGTAGGGCTCGGGGTAGGTTCTTGGTCGGGCTCAGGGTGGGTTCTCGGTAGGGCTCGGGGCAGGCTCCAGGTACTCAACTGACGGGTTCCAGTTCACTCAACTGGCGGGCTCTGGTTCACTCAACTGGCGGGCTCCGGTTTACTAAACTGGCGGGCTCCGGGTGTTTGACTGGTCGGGCTCCGGGTGGGTGACTGTTCGGGCTCCAGGTGGGTGTCTGTCCGGCTTCGGGTGGGTCCTTGGTAGGGCTTGGGATGGGTTCTTGGTAGGTATTGGGGCTGGGTTCTCGGTAGGGCTTTGGGCTGGGTTCTCGGTAGGGCTTTGGGCTGGGTTCTCGGTAGGGCTTGGGGGGGTGGGTTCTCGGTAGGGCTTGGGGGGTGGGTTCTCGGTAGGGCTTGGGGGGTGGGTTCTCGGTAACCCTCTGTTTGATCTGAGGACGGGTTGGCACTGGAGCGAAGGGCGTATGCACCCTATCAATCAGCATAATTATATATTTTATCCAGGTTATATCCTGCCTAACTAAAAGAATTTTGGGATTCAGTTCCTGAGCCCATTATGTGCCTCTGTAATCTTATCTACTACTGCCCACACGGTGAACATAGGGTGCATAATAAATGAACAAAATTAAATAAAAAAAACTGTGTATATATAAAAAAAAAAATCCCAAACCACTGAAATTGTATTATCCGGATCATAAAGACGGTAAATACCAATCACTCAGCATATTCAACATGAGTTTGCAACGATTATATACTACTTTTCTAATAAATAATATCTTCTATAATTATATATATATAAATACATTAATGATACTAAAGCTTTTGATAAACTAATATATTGAGCGACCGTACAGAACCCGGAGTTATGTAGGAGTCTTGACCGGGCAGGGAGGAGGAGAGGCCGTCCACGTTGTGTTGTGAGCATCTGGCTGGGCTGGTGTGAAAAAAAAGTGTTCTACCTCACATTTATTCACTCTGCTTTGTACTGGTATACACAGTCATATAAACCTTCGGGATTCGAGGAAACGCTGGTGATACCGCGGCCCGAGACGTATGTCGCTAGGTGAGTCTTCAGGACCCACATGTGATACACGGCTTGTAGGTGAGGTATACAAGGGCAGTAGGCAGGCTATAAAAGCTAGTAGATAGCCTATACAAGCTAGTAGACAGGCTATACAAGCTAGTAGACAGGCTATACAAGCTAGTAGACAGGCTATACAAGCTAGTAGACAGGCTATACAAGCTAGTAGACAGGCTATACAAGCTAGTAGACAGGCTATACAAGCTAGTAGACAGGCTATACAAGCTAGTAGACAGGCTATACAAGCTAGTAGGCAGGCTATACAAGCTAGTAGGCAGGCTATACAAGCTAGTAGGCAGGCTATACAAGCTAGTAGGCAGAATATACAAGCTAGTAGGCAGGCTATACAAGCTAGTAGACAGGCTATACAAGCTAGTAGACAGGCTATACAAGCTAGTAGACAGGCTATACAAGCTAGTAGACAGGCTATACAAGCTAGTAGACAGGCTATACAAGCTAGTAGACAGGCTATACAAGCTAGTAGGCAGGCTATACAAGCTAGTAGGCAGGCTATACAAGCTAGTAGGCAGGCTATACAAGCTAGTAGGCAGAATATACAAGCTAGTAGGCAGGCTATACAAGCTAGTTGGCAGGCTGTACAAGCTAGTTGGCAGGCTGTACAAGCTAGTTGGCAGGGTATGAGGAGGGAGATATCGCTTCCCTTTAGTCACTGTGAGGTAAGCATACGTCCCGTCCTGCACCAAAAGTCTTCTGTGCACATTAAAACCTAGACCTACACAACTCATTCTCACCTGATCTAATCAATTATGGTCATACCAAACACAGGGATATTAAACACAGGTCACTTTATACCCAGTATGGTTTGCCAACATATTTGAAAACCTGTGAACCAACCCAATCTAACATACCAAGTTTAATCTAATAATACTATATAGTTTTAATATTGTAATTAGAAAATAAGCTTTAAAACATTTACAATTTCACCATACTCTTATCAAATGCACACTGGTTACATGTTCATAATGTACTGTATGTCATAAGTTTGATTGAAGATTTTTATTAACACTCATCCCACCTTCCTCAATACCACAGCACAATTGAACATTGCCACAGCCTTTCATACTGTATCATCTTTACATCAGACTGTGCTCGTTATTACACAAGCTTTAGCTCATTATGCTCTGTGCACTCATATTCCCTATAAGTCTGCTTATTATAGCATCTTGTACTCATTATACCACTCTTTTTCATGGCCAGAGTTTAATTCATTTATGTACCCCATACACATCCTGTGGGCAGTAGTGGGAAAATGTTACACACACAGGATGGGTTTTGGAACTGAACCCCAAAACTATTCAATTAGTTAAGCAAGTTGGTCTTGATAAGCCAGTTGCAGTTTAATATATGTATTGACAATGCATTCAAGAATGACCACAAGTACAGTCTCTTAAGTTAAACAACTTATATTGGCAGTGAGCTATTTCATAATTTGATCTACTCATCATGCACACCACCCCACATGCAGTAAGGGGCAGTGGACAGTAGTTTCTGGTAGTCGATCATTTTGAATGAAATATTTACACATTTTTTGAGCATTTAATATAGTTGTCTTGAATTCGTTAATTTTTTCACACCATCACCTAGTGATGCAGGGTGTCAGAATAATTTTGCTGACAGTTGGCATTTGGTCAAGTCTACATCAACAGGTAATGCAAACTCCCTGAGATACTTATAACCGAGTCTAAATTGAGCAGTAGTAACAACTAAGAGTCTGCTGATTTTGATGGATGATGCATAGATATGTGGCTCTTCTTGCATGATAGTGTGATTGATGAAAGATGGAATTTCTAGTATAAATTTATCTTCACCTCGGTTCTACAAGGGTTTGTTAAAGTTCTTCATGTATTATTGTTTTTCAGGCTTCAGGCCATCCAAGGTTATAGTGAACTCTTACTTGTGCATTTAGAATTGTGTATTTAGACAGTACAACTTAGCAATATTGTACCACTCATGATATGATACATAAAGAACTGAATTTACCTGAGGGGCCACTAACACTAATGGCTTCAGTGAGGACAGGAAGCTGGCAGCTTGTTTAAGGCCCCCCTCCCCTCCATTTGCCTTGATTGTCTTTTCCAGTAAATTGTACGAACTGTAGTTTATTTTTATACTATATTTAGGAGAGCTGGCCATTTATTAGGGATAGTTTTTAACTTTATACTGTACTCAAATGCAATGATAAATTAAGAAAATAATATTATTTGTAACAAATTTTTTAATGTATTTCAAAAGTTTTCTTTTAGTTTATAATAATGTTTACATTTTCAGTATTGTTGCAAGATGAAGTTCAAAAGGATAAGTGGTAAAGGGCAGAAATGGAAGAAGGGTCACAGCTGTGTGTCTAATTCCCAGAACACCAAGTACAGGGAAGCAGCCAGAGGATGTTTCTTTCAAAAAGTAGAAGGTTAGTTAAGACTGATTTAATGATTTAAAATGTGAAAGTAAATTTGAGATGGATTAATATATTTTCCTTTAAATGTATGATGTTATTTAAGTAGCTAAAGTGAGGAACAGTCATAGAATATCAAGGAGCAGAATAGAAATTGATTCATTGTTTTATTATTTTGGGTATGAATGTTTTGTTGGTATTGTATTTAACTGAAAAATTGTTGAAAATACAGTGGCACCTCGACTTACGATTGCCCCAACTTACGATAATTTCGAGTTACGATGTAAATTTCATCGAAAAATGTGACTAGACTTGGATAGTGTCGTCGACTAATGATATTTGTTGGTACATGTTTGGGTCGACCGACCGAGTAAATGAAAACCACAGCAATTCAAAATTAAAACTAATAATATAATTTGGTTTTAAATGCATTTGGTTTAGTCAGTGGCTTTCCCAAGATATCAACTATTTTTCCTAGTGTTATTTTCCACTACAAATTTGTTTAAAATGTGATAGGAGCCATATTAAAGGAATTAGCATTCATACCGTAATTTTTCTTGTGCTTTATGGGTGAATTTCTTGAAGTGAAATTTTAATTTTAACCTCTCAGTGAAGAGGTTTCATTCTAGTTGCCAGAATTTCTCAAGGTCCAGTCTTGAAGCTTATTTTTCAAGGCTGAGGTCAAGCTTATTTCAAAGGAAGGATCATGACACCAAATGAACCTGCTTGCATGCCGGCCTGCTGACCTGCCTACATGCCTCTACATTTTGAATTGCCTCTAATCACTCTGTAGGTTTGATATTGTAATTAAGTAGTTGTGAAAAATGAGAACTTCCTACAGTATTTTGTCACTGGGAGTGAAGTTGCTTTCCCTATTCCCTTTTATTGCAGAGGATGGCTGCCTCCACATATATAATTTTATTTGTTTTTAATCTGATTTAAATATTTGGTTTTAGAATGGATATTTTGTTATTTTTGCCAGGTTTGTCCTACAAAAATTATTTCATAATTTGAGGTTTTAATATCTGATCACATAAATTCTTTGTATATTGTACTGTATTTGTTTCCAGTTACTTCATCATTATAGTTCTAGCAACGTTATATATTAACTAATCAATCCTGAGTTTTTCTCATATTTCTTATGTAAACTGTATGATTGCTGAGGTAATGACATATTTTCCTTCTTCCACACATTAGTTGCTCACTGCAAGTAGTGACTGCTTTAGTTGCATGGTAGTCAAATCAATATACAGTATAGAAATATTTCATCAAATGCTTGCGTGAACTATGATACCATGTTTAAATGAAGACAATTAATGTCTGAAGAGTAGAGTTTCCAGAAGGAACAATAGTTTCCTAGATATGGGTGAAGGGATATTTGAACAAGTATCATACTGTATGTAATTTGTGCTGGCAGTGGTATTAAACAGACATTTTGTTACTGTATTGCCAACATGGGATAGGCAGTGTAAATGTATTGTTTGGCAGGAAAGAAGAGCAGTATGTCTTAAGTATATTGTGCTTTAAAGAGATTATTGCCATTTAAATCAGAATAATGTAAACAGGGAAAAGTGGCCTGACAACGACTGCCCTGGCTGAACATAATGCAGCACTTGGCAGCATTGAGCAGCAGATGTCAGAGCTCTGTGTGGATTTTGAAGATCTACGTAGTGCTGGGAAGACCTTCAACACCTTTGCAACCAATTTTACGACTTGTACTATTCCTGCCTTTGATAAGTAAGTTCTGGGAAGTATGGTTAAATATTTTGGCTATGTATCAGCCAGTTTTACCATTGTGGCACACCCTTAGTCTCTCTTATGGTTAGCCATTGTACAGAAGTTCATAAAACTAGAACAAATTATTTTATTGCAGTGTAGCTTCTGAATAGTTCTGTTTTAAGGTTTTCCATGGTACCTTTGCTTTTAACTTTCCCTGCTTATCTTTATTTTCTGGAATGACTCGCATTCCTATTTTAATTACTGGAACTTCATTCCAGTTTTTGAGGGGGGTGTCAGGGAACTATATGAAACATTAGAAAAATTCAAATATATTCAAAACTTGAGTAGAGCAAAAGTAAATACAAAATCTTTAATATTATAACAGTTCAGTATTATACTGTATAGGATCATCATCTACTGTATATTGTATCATCAGAAACATATAAAATTTCTCATTGAGGCTTCCAAATATTCACATGTAAAACAGATTAATATTCTGAGCAATTTATAATATATTTTGTTTTTACTCTATCCTAATAGATTCTTCAAGAATTTCAGTACCACGTCTGAACTGCAAACCCGCATGTTGGCTATTCATGCTGCAGCACAAGAGTATATGACAGAAGCTGGCATGCCTGAGACACCGACTTCGTATTTTTGCAGCCTGGTAAGATTCTTATTTTAGTGTTTATCCTTGTTTGCCACTTACCCGAGAGATTGTATTGAATTTAAAAAATAGAGCTTTATAACACTGATAAAGGCTACTCTCTTCATTTCAATCATATATTCCTAATGCTGGAATTTCACCTGGTTTCTGCACTTGTAATTTCTACATTTTCATGTAGATAACTTGTGAATAAACAAATATTTATATCGCATAACGTTACTGTAGTAACTGTAATGGAACCAAGCATAACATGAGCTAATCTAGCCTAAGCTAATTAAATAGAATATATGACCTTACTTAACATAACCTGAGTTTTCCTAAGCTAATGTAACTTAATTTATTCTAGTATAATAAATAATCTGAATTACATCATAACAAGCAGAATCTCCTTGTGTATTGTAGGGGGGAGTGTTGAGTGGGATTGCTCTTTGCTGTGTGACATAGCAAGCTGGTCCCTCTGTGGATCAAGTTGAAGTTCTTATTGTCTACCTTTCCTTCTCGTATTCCTGATAATGACAGTGTTCTGGTGGTCCCGAGGCTTCTGGCTCAAGGGGAGCATCCAAGGGATTGCCTCAAAAGTTTTTTGCAATGGTCAACTCTCACTCTCTCTCTCTTTTCCCCATAAGCTGATGTCTCTCATTAAAGTGGAAAGCTGTGTATTGATGATATATATAAATGCAAAATGTTCATCTACCTTCTTAATGTAGATTAAAATGTCAATATTCTACTTGATAATTTCTATCTGTAACTTGCTCATTTGCTTTTGTTTGACACAATTTTATTTAGGTGACTTGATAAAATATAAATGATAATTGACCTCATGCAATTTGCAGATGATTAGCTTGGAGGGAATCAGTGAGAGTGAAGACGATGTGGCAGCTACGTTGTCGCTGATGGTGAAGGTGATTCGACGTGTCAGTATAGAAGTCCTTCGTGCCAAGTTCAGTGACATTGTCAAGGTCCTGGATAATACCATCACAAAGTATCAGTTATCCACATCTGGTGCCTTGGTTATTAATGTAAGTAATATTTGTGTGTTTTTCTGAGCTATCACATTTGGTTACTTCCTAAGATACGATCTGCTGTAGCTATTGATCAGGATCATTAAACAGTTGGGTAGGAGGAAATTCTGGCACTGGTAGCATGGAAGGTTGAAACACCTGTGTATTGTCATATAAGGTGCTTGGTGGAAGGGAAAGGGGGTCCAAAACACCATACATTCTCGGTGGCTACAAGAACAGTTCAGGAGATGGACAAACTATAAGAAAACAATCCAACCTGTGAAATATTGTTATTGGTGCAGGGGGGCCTATTCATGCATGAATTAGAAAAACATTTAGAACATACAATGCCAGTTAGATCAAATAAACAGTTGCCATCAGACTGTTGAAAATACAAAATGAAAATATAACAGTAAAATTGGTTCCAAACAACTAGTACATAATACTGAGAGAAAATAATCATCCAAAATGACTAAGAGGAAAAGAACAAACGTTGCTTACCCCTCATCAAAGCCAACCCATCAGACAACTCACCAACAAGCTAAGTAAAAAAGAATGTGCTTTGGATATCCAATTTGGATCGTGCCTCAGACCACTGTACGGTATATAAATATGCTGCAGAAATGAAAATTGAATTACATGGTTAAGATAACTGTACGAGGCCAGAAGCGAGAAAAATATTTTGAACATTTATACATAAGAGCAGCGTTGACGTTTGCCGAAATGGTGTGGTGTAATTTGCAAATAGCCTTCATGATGTTTTTATTTGAGCTAAGAAATCTGGAAGTGATGCTATATTTGCAGCCCATCCTTCTGTTTTGGTAGTACAGTACTTATAGTAACGATGATGACCATAGAATATATACCGACGTACAACGAAATTAGAAAGTAGAAATCGGCACTGTTGAGTTGGACAAACCAGAAAACTATTTTTGACTTGTGTTGCTTTGACAAACTAACCTAACCTAACTATACTAGGCCTTAGAATATTTAAGTTTGTTTTTCAGTTTCATTTATTTTAAAGTATTCCTTACTAGTCAGTATATCAATATTTAAAAACTAAGAACGTACAAATTTGTGACTATTGATGACTGTCACAATAGGTACTATCTAAACAAGAGGATGGGTTGATATACGTGTCTACCCTAGGTATAAAACGGTGCATTTCATTACGTTAAATGCTTGATTTTTTTTTCAGTTAATTGGGTCTATGTCAGTACTGTTACGAGCCCAAGAGAAGGTGCAGTGGACAAATCCATACATGATGGACTTCATGCAAAAAATCCTTGCCTACACAGTCCATGAGAAACCGAAGGTAAGGCCTTGGGTTCATTATTCTCCCTTTAATTTTCCAACCTCACTTGCTATTAATATTTCTGTCTTGTGTAGTGGATGATCAGGTTATATTTTTGGATGTACTGGAATTTCATTGTGCGCTTGAATTCTAATGTTTATTGCAATGTGGCAGGTAAGAATGAATGAGTTAATGGTAAATCTTTGATCTACAAATATTTGTTTATCATTTATGTAAATTAATTTAAATAATGAGTCCATCAATTTTGTACTATAATATATAACGTTGGCTAAATGATATAAGATTTGTTAAGAAGTATGCAGTTGCTAATGCCATGTAAGTACTGTAACTTATAAAAGAGTTCAAGAATTGTAGGAGAGATATGCAGTCCTTGTTGTTGTAATTGCTTCTGTCAGCTGGGTCCTAGCTAGTAGGCAAAGAGAGAGAACTCAAGTCTTCTGCCTCTCCACAGTCTGGCTGGGAGTGCCTCTCTCGGCCACTGTCCTCCACAGGGCCGGCGGCTGAGCGGACAGAACACTGGACATGTGATCCAGTGGTCCCAGGTTCGATCCCGGGCGCCAGTGAGAAACAATGGGCAGAGTTTCTTTCACCCTGATGCCCCCTGTTACCTAGCAGTAAATAGGTACCTGGGAGTTAGTCAGCTGTCATGGGCTGCTTCCTGTGGGTGGAGGCCTGGTCGAGGACCGGGCCGCGGGGAAACTAAGCCCTGAAATCATCTCAAGATAACCTCAAGGGAAGAAAGGTCTACCTTCCCTTCCCTTCCCTTCCCATTTCACTCAGCACTTGCAATACCAATGCAGGCCCCTCCAGGCTCCATCTCCACCAATGCATCCACCCTTATTCCTGCCCCCTCTATCCATTGTCCAATGGTTGAGATTTACTGACATTGTGAACTGCATTGTGACCACTGCTCCTCTCCATCCTACACCTCCTTCTGGTCGAAAGCATTAAAAAATCCTCCCCCCTCTTCCTTATCTGGAGTCTGATGATATCCTTGTTCCAAATTCTGAATATCCTCACTCTAGAGTCAGACAATTATTCCAGAACAGCCCCACTTATTGAGTCCTATCTGTCTTTCCATTCTTCTTTCCTAAGCACATTTGTGCATTCATTATGATGTGGGTAACTTTATTATTTTTCTTAATTACTATTTACCGGTAATGTACATAATCTGCATACTGTACTCTCGTTACCTAAATTTTTCAGTCTATAGCCATTGTTATTTATTCTGTACACACCAGTTCCACCTATTAATTTATTCTCGAGTGGTTTGTAGTGGAAATTTTTTCCCATAACTTGCAGGTATCATACTAATCTAATACTCTAAGCTACCCTTAAAAACACAATTTCATTCTCACTTCTCTAATCAAGTGCATTCTGTACTTGATTGGTACAGTATGCTACATAAATACTGTATGTATACACACTGAACACATGGTGTATATGAAAGAGTTATGCTGCCAATAATTGTTCTTGGTCTGAAGTGTGAAGCTTGTTAAATTCTAGATACAGTATAATTTTTGTGCACAAATTTTCACCAAACCAATTTACAATTATTCACATTTTCAATTTTCAGATCAGGAAAACGGCACAGTATAACCTGAGTGCTATTCTAAAGGGTTCTTCCTTCATGGTGGGTGATGATGTGCCCAAGTATAGTCATCCAGGGGCAGGAGCAGTGGCCGAGTTCTGTATTTCTCAACTCCGAGCTGCGGTTGAGATGGGAAATACCAAAACTACTCTACATATTCTTGTCCTTCTTAGACAAGTCATAATGGCTTTTCCCAGGAAACAGTTAAAGGTAATTGTTCAGAGTGTTCTGTATTTTGATCATTTATACAACAATTATTAATTGCAGAAAGGCCAGTTTTAAATGTTAATTGTTGTTAAAAGTAAATTAAATGTAAAGTTATATCCTACTTGAAAGAACAAAGTTTGTTGCAGAATAAGTGTTCTACATGTTCAGTGCAATTACAGTAGCTTATTTTTTCTGAGGTGGTGGTGTTGTCTTGTGCACTTGGTGGGTATACACAGGTTGTGTTTAGGGATGTTTTCTTGTCTAAGGCTTTGTCTTCATTTCCCCTGTTGCCTGATTGTGGGGGTTAGGTGTTTGTGGACTGGGGAAAGAGGGTTGGGGGGAGGGGGGAGATTGGATGACATGACCTTTCAGAAGTTTACAACTTCATGGTTTCCTGCTCTCAGAGCCTTAAAAGGTGGAATTTGATGGAGGATTTCCTCAGTGTTAAAATTAGCTTTGGTTGCTGCAGCATCTTGTAGGAATGAACCTAGGTTCTCTCACACACTTGGCTGATGCTCTTAACATCTTTGCTCATCAGTCATTGTTCCCTTTCCAACTCTAGGCCGAGCTTGCCAAGAGCTTGGGACTTAGTAATTTGGACAGAGCCCCCTTTTTTGGAGGCATTGTGGGGGGGCATTGTAGTTCATAGCAAATAAAAATTTAGTAACTTATTTTCACAAACACAAGTGAAGCAAAAAAAAGTTATGGAGCAAGCTGTTTTCTCTAGATGCCTCCACTTGTTCATTGTCTCACGCCATTTATGTGCTGTTGGTTGTGTACCATGTCTTCTTCAGTGACATCTTATCCACTGAATAACAAAATATAGAATGATACCAAATACCCATACATTAATGGTGAAAGGCATGCACCACCTCTCTTCTAATACCTTCATATTTATCTTCCTAAATCAATCTTTATGTTCTTATTGCTTTATATTGTTACCATATGTGTTGTCTTTCAAATTTAACCAGTGAATTATTCTGGCATTATTTTCATTCCTAAACTGTTGCAACTTATTGTGAATAACAAAATATATTTCACCCAACAGTGTGTGTGTGAGTGTGTTCTCTCAATCATGCAACTGGGCAAATCCCTCACCAACACCTGTGCCATGCAAGCTCTCTACAGCCTCTTCATTTCCAAACCTTCACCAGTTGCATTTCCAGCCGACATTAACGCTGCTCTCATCAGTGCTTTGACAACAGAGGCAGCTGGTGCCTCCAGTCGTTCATTGGCAGTAATCCCAGGGATGAACGATCCACAACCAGCCAGTGCTTGGATAACAGTCCTTACAGTAGCTCATATTAATCTCTTCCAGTAAGTTTTTAAGGATCATTAGGAAAGTTGCCCTTTATCAGAACTATTGAGTGCTTCAGTTGTTGATGTACACTGATGATGTAAAATCAGATAATAAACAAAGAAGAAAACTAAAATATCCCTCTAAAATATAAAAATGTAAATAAAATAACAAAAATCCCTCCCCCCCCCTCAAAAAAAATTGATGGACATTGATGAAAGTAACAGATGTTAACAGGTACTTGCATCTCTTTATTATTGTATTATCCCTCAGTTCTAGTTAATAGGCATTGTTCTTTTTAAAAAATTTGTCCGAAATCCATTTCTGAAAATTTTGGGATGAAACTTTCACAGTGCTGAAGCCAGTAAGTTGGAGATGTGTTGAAAATTTTTCACTATACTGTATTTCATATTTAGACAAATATTTCTGAGCACTGGGCCCCTTAAATGGGGTTCAATTTCTGAGCTCATTATGTACCTCTGTAACCTTTCTCCATTAACTCACTGGATGGGTATGGGGTACACATTGTACCCACTGTACTCATTACACCACTGTAGTCTCATATAAACTGATCTATGGCTACTCTTTTAGATTGTCTACAGGTACTTGAAATATGTCCACTTAGTATTTCTACATTAACCATTATTTTCCAGATTAAATGAGGACCAGGGAATGAAATTCATTGCCTCATGGTTTGAGCAACTTGTCCCTTACTGGAAGAGCAACCACAGTGAAGTGCAATCAAAGGTGGGTATACTTTATGGTACTATTTTTCTCATCATAATTTCACATTATTTTAACTAGTGTGTGTAAGATAAGGCCCTTTGAATACTCTCTAATCTCAGTGCCTATGAGGTCTACCCAGGGTTAATATCACACACCAGACACTCTTATCATGATGATTATCTTTACAAATGGTCTTGTCAAGAAATTTTTTTAAAGGACATGATCTAACTTGAGCCTTTACTGAGGGACCTGCTAGCTATGATTCAAGAGATAGCAATACTGTCAACACCGATGCAAGTGATAATCAGAAACTCAAGAATTCAACTTATCACTAGTAACTCAACCTGTCCTACAAAGATTGTTGCATTTTGCTCATATGCATTACCCAAGGCCAAAAATTGTTGTACTAGAAAATGGAAGCGGCTCACGAAACTGATGTACTGTCCCGTTTTCTGTTTTGGGTCCTCTGGTAGGTTAGGAGAGGACACTTCATTAAATTGACCATTTTCTTGATGTTGGGAAACCTTAGAAAGACAGGCTGAGTAACTACCATTTAATAGTCAAAGTTATCCATGCCACTATCAGGTTGCAGCATCTTTTACCATAACGGTGTCTTTGTCTTTGTCAACCCTCGCTTGAAGCCCAGACCAAGCAAGCTAGCTCAGGAAAGAGGGGGACACAGTGCATTTTTCAAGGAATAACGCCAAAGAATATAAAAAATATATATTTATTACATAGGTAGTGGTGGAGCTAGAGAAATGGGTAGACCACCAAATGGTACCAAGAGCCATCATGTAGCCAAAGAAAGAGAGCCATCAGTACGTGAAAAGTGTGCCCTTTTTATTTCTCACTATGGCTAGCTGATATAGTTCTAACATTAGTTTCCACTATATCCCTCTTTCCATAGGACTGTGAACCATAATAATAATTAGAAGTTCTGAATTATTGAAAAAATGTACAGCACATACATTCCTGTTCTGCATTGTATATGTATGCAGGATTGTTTTATTTAATTATTGTAAGGCACAAATGTTTTTCTTTGTTCAGAATTTTAATTGCTTTTTATTTTTTATTGGCACAGGTGTTTGAATCATTTGAAGTATTGTTGCAAGAATGTGTAGCCAACTGCAGCAAGGAATTTCTCGCCAGCAACCAGGGACACGTGGCAACTATCATGCGGGCTGTCGAAGGGGGACTCTCGTTCCAATTCCAATCCGCATGGGATCAAGTGTTCAAGTGCCTGAATGTGTGTTTCACAGTAATTGGCCCAAACTTTGCATCCATGGTGGAGCCTTGTCTTAAAAACCTAACAGAGTTAATGGAAAACTCGCATTTGCCTCACCGCATGTATATAGAGCAAGCCATAGGTGCAGCAGTGAGTGTTTTGGGACCCAAGTCACTAATGGCTCTAGTGCCGCTTGAGGTGACAGGCAATATTGCTGAAGATGAGAAACATTTTTGGGTTCTCCCTGTTCTTAATAAATATGTAAAGAATACGCAGCTGTGTTACTTTGAAGATTACTTTGTTCATATAGCGGGCAAATGCTTTATGCTTCTGAACTCGCTCAAAGAAAAAGGCCAAGAAAATTCTCTTCTGTCTAAGGCTTACCAGGTAGTGGAAAGGCAGATCTGGGCTATGCTGCCAAGTTTTGCTGATAAAGCAACTGATGTAGAACAGGCTCTCAGCAATGAAAAGTTTGCACGTATTTTATGTGACCACATCAAATTCCGCGATGACACGAGGTCAAACATTATGTTAGCTCTGCGCAACATGATCAACGATAACATAGAAAATCCTGGACGATTACTCACTTACTCTAAAAATTATATCCCTGCTTTATTCAATGTTTATCTTACTCCACCTAAGGACAAAGGCAAAAAAGCTACAGAGAATGTTACTATAGGTTCTGGTCAAAGACAAGCTGCACATTACACACTCAGAACTTATCTACAGATCATCCCTATGGCAAAATGTAAAGAATATCTAGGACTTATCATGACTAAGTATAATGATGAAACTGACAGCTTCAAAAAACAGGCATTTTTGGACCTGGCCAGGGCCTTTCTTCCTTACCTGGACAGTAGTTTGTTGTATCGCCTCTATGAGAAAGTAAAACCACTGATCGGCTCGGCAAAAGATCACAAGGAGCAAAAAGCTGCATATAGACTGCTGGAGGAAATTCTAGGTGTGGGATCAGAGGGTGGTCAGGATTTCATAATGAATAATCTGGATGAACTTTGTAAGTTATTGTTGGAATCGCTCTCCACTGCAGCTCCTAGCTCACGTGCTCCACGTTTGAGATGTGTTAGACAAGTTGTGCTGCAGTTGAGAAGTGACATGGAAACATCAAGTAGAGATGCCCTCCTGAACCAAGTAGTGGGGGAGTGTGTCATGTGCTGTGGAAGGAGCATGTCTGAAGCCACACGTAAAGCAGCCTTTCTCCTTCTGTCAGAAGTTGGTTCCACAATCCAGAAGCATCTTCAGGTAAGATACACTGATGCACCTTTCAAGTGCATTTTCCAGTTCTATCCTGATCAATTAGTTTTCTCAGTTTCCTAATGATATTTTAAACATCAGTTTTCATTCATCTTCAAAATCAACTTTGTGATTGACTCCTTATTAATTGTGTGTTGTACTGTGTCATGTTTTCTATCTTTTGCATATACTGTACTGTATTCACATGACATTCTTTACCTACCTTGTACTTTTTTCATAAATGTTCTACACAGCCACATATTCTAACCAAAAAGGTCTCATATTCATCTTAAATGCTCATTTAGCTCATATTACTTGTTTTAACTCCTGGGCTGCACAGCTATTAATTGCTGATCCTGGTGTGCAAGAAAATAAATAAAATCCTTCTGATATTGTTAAAATGCTTTCTCTGATCACGGAGCAAAAAACAAAAAATGTATGTGACATATTTTGGCTGTGATAGGACGAGGAAGTGTGGCAAGAGGCCGGGGCTGTCAGTACACCTCTGGGCTGGTCTGCTCCAGCCAAGCTGTGTGGCTGGGGGTTGTCTTTTAAAGAAATTATTACTTGGTTATTTCAATGTCTGATTGTTTGTCACTGTTCTTTTGTATTAATATTATTCATTAGTGTATAATGCGATAAATTTATATAATAAAATGTGTGAACCATCACTATACTAAAAAATATGGTGTGCATATTAGTGGTACAATTATTATATTCATAGAGCAGTAAAACTTTTTGCTGTTATTGTGCTGCATATACACTATTTATATATACAGTACTGTACAGTATATCTAACTACATTTTCATGCACCATTATGAATCATAGTGTTTCTGGCGAGTGTAATATGTAATCTTATAACTGGTTATCAGAGTTCATCCTAATCATGCATATTTTGCACTAAATTCTAACAGTACATATTGAATATATTGTACAGTATAATATTTTCTTAGTATTTTGAATGTTTTTACCATGGATTTTTCAAGTACAATGTTGTATTGGGTTGTCAGTAATATTAGTATTTGTATCATAGAATTTATACTATGCACATTCCTAATTATAGGTACAATGCTGCTATTATCAAAATCCTGGTCACATTTCATTTCTGTTCTAGACTATTATTCTGATTACATTTCAGTCTGTTCTGGACCATTATCGAGTCGAGTCAATAATGATCCAGGATGGACCGAAATGTCAGTTTCTTCATTTTCTGAGGTAGACCCAAAGATAATCCATTCAGCAACACTAAACCAGTGTAACGGCTAAATTCTTCCATGTTCTTTGAGGCTTGGTATAAAACTGTGCTCCCTCATAGGAATGTCAAGTACATTTATATTTTCCTCACATTAATTAAATGGTTTGTTGCAGTGTTCAGGGGAGGACACTGTACGTCACTGCCTGAAGTTGCTCTTGGCGGGGCTGGCTGGTTCACCGGTTCTTGCAGCCAACTCTATCTTGGCCATCACTTCACTCACATACCAGTATAAAGGTATATATATGCATTTTTCTTTCTTACTCAACAGCTGTAAATTAAAGAACATGTATGTGCAGATGTATTAAGAATACAGTATTAATATTATTGTATATCTGGGAAGGTGAGAGGATAAGGATGTTAGATATTAGGGTGTGTGTGTGGATAATAATGAAAGGTGTGTATGAGTGGGTAATAGGGAAGACATAGGGATAAGTGAGGATAATGGAAGGGGGAAGTGGATGAGTGGATAATAATAAGGAAATTGGGGTGAGGTTGAAATATAGTGGTTGTGTTTGGGTGGATGGTGTGAGATACTGACTGTGGGAGCAGCATGGTGAGAGTCGGGATAATGATAGTAGTTAGGTGGACGGATAAACTAGCAGGAGTGGGAGGATTATCCATGTAGAGGCTGAACTGAGGCTTTAACAATATACTGTATCAAAGAAACTTTGAAACTGTTTCTTTCCATGTGATCTGTTAATAATAATTTTAACTGCTAATACATTTTTGTGTGTGTTTTGCCTGATTTTATTGAATTATATAATTAATATTGTCATTCTTCATTTTCTTTACAGATATCATATCTGATGATATGATTGAATTGCTTATGCAAAACATGTGCGTCCAGCTGCTTTGCAACTCCCGGGAAATTGTTGGCTCCTGTTTATCTTTCATCAAATCGGCTTTCATCATCTTCCCTGTTCCTGTCATGTCCAGCCATATAGATACAATTGTTAAGGCTCTTTGTAATATCATACCAGATTGTCAAAGAAAATTCAGGCTGAAAACGCGTGACATCTTGGTCAGATTGATGCGCAAGTTTGGTGCAGATCGCATAACGGGTGAGTAAATAATTGTTCTTCTCAGAATCATTTGAAGTCATGTTTCTTGTGGAGAAAGAACAGGTAAATAATCATCATCATTATCATCACCATCACCATCACCATCACCATCATCATCCCCTTTCTTACTCACAGGGGTGGGAAAGCATTAGCCATATTGTGTAGTTGTGGAAAGTGGTGGTATATATATTGAACAAAAATAAATACCTGTCCATTCATTGCCATTATATCATGTACCATATATAGCATTGTGGACATGCTATATAGGGTACATATATATGTACCCTATATAACATATCCAAAATATGATAAAGTATGGATATGATAAAAGCAACACACACCACTCCAAAATAAACAGTGACTAAAAAATCAAAACAAGAGTACGTTATTGCATAAAGCAGTTGGCTAAGTGTAAGAAATTGAGAAGTTAATGTGTATTTGTTGCATTAAAATGTTAATTTAGCACTATCGCACTCTTCGAATGACCATCGCGTCCGATTTTTTTTCTCTCAAGTCCGAGCATCGGACATGATGTGCGTCCGGTAAAAAAATATTTGTATAAAATTCATTTATTATCGATCGACTTTGGGATAGTTTCAAAATAAGCGCCTTTAGAGTGCACACAATTTGATACCAAAATGAAAGATGTAACACGAAACTTGATGTCAGAACACTTGAAAGATTATAAATATGTTTTTGGTCGAAATTAATCCTAGGATCCGGGTTCGATCCCTGGTGATGGCAGAAACAAAATGGGCAGTGTCTTTCATTCACCTTGATGCCCCTGTTACCTAGCAGTAAATAGGTACCTAGTAGTTAGACAGCTGTTACGGGGGATGCTTCCTGGGTGTGTGTGTGTGTGTGTGTGGAAAAAAAAATTGTTAGTAGTTAGTGACAGTTGATTGATTGACAGTTAAGAGGCGGGCCAAAATAGCAGAGCTCAACCCCCGAAAGCACAACCAGGTGAATACACACAAACGTACATATACATATACACACACACATGTATGCACATCCTTAGATGTACACAGACCCATAGTATAAGTACTTGACATCTAACTATAACATTTTCCATTACCAGCTCTGGTGCCATCAGGTGATACTATACTGCATAAACGCATCCGAAACCTTCGAAAATTAGAAGCAAGAAAGCAGCGAGAACGGGAAGCAAGAAAAGACAGCGAAGGCATGAGTGACGATGACGACTTCAAATCTCGGGCTCTCCCTGCTAGGTAGTGTTCCAACATTTTAGTATCATTTGGCACTGAGTTGTCACTTTTGATTACTACTTTAGGTTTGCTTCCCATGTGTCCTTGGGGAGGATCATGCAGAGTCAGAACGTCGGTAAACCTACTAGCATCGGTGCTACAAGAAATTTTCAAGCAAACTTGCATGTTAGAGAGGCACTGAAGAAATACCCGATCCTGCCCAGAATTACTGAAAGAGGCAGTTCATAAACGCTTGAGGTGCTTCCAATCCCTCCCTTGGCATCATTGGGACCACTAACGATGGTATTCACTAACTACTTGTGTGCCTGGCTGCCTACACTGACCACCACCAGGTGGCAGTATCATACCTCTGTGTCCCCTTGAACCCAACCATATATTTGGGTCAGCCTACTTAATGGCTTCCTAGAGTGTACAGCACTGGCACCCTTGAACCACAGTTGATGCACTAGGCTCCTGTAACAATCTTGACCCACAAGAGCAAGGACCAATATCTAAACCTCCCCCACCTCTCTCCCCCTATACAGGGCAGAGGAGCATATGGGGATCAAAGAATAACCCACAGTTGAGGTGAACTACCACAAAGTCAATAGGTCTCCCATGTTGCCTCAGTCATTCCTGAAGAGACTAGGAAATTAAAACATTGGTTCTTGGAACCACCTCAAGGTAATCCTTGGGTGTGTGCATCAGATGTGTAATTGCTAATCAACCTTTTTTGGCCTAGTCTTTCTCTTTGGCATTGGTCATGGTCTCCTCATGCTCTAAAGCAGTTGCCATTTAATGAGTTCATGCTTGGTCTTTTAAGCTGTTACAAAGTTCAACAGCAAGGCCACCCTGCATAATGCAGGTTTTGGAAGTGAGGTAGACCTACCATGAAATCCAGCCCCACCCTCACCTTTATAGGCTGGAGGGGTAGAAACGATAGGGCTTGAGACCAGAATCTTGTCTTCAACCAACCCTGGGCCAAAAATTCTCCTGCCATAAATAATACGAAAGATTTATGTGCATCAGCGAGCTGATATCTAGGAGGCTGGGTCACTTTTTGCAGTGAAAAAGTTTGTTAGCTGGTCATTCACACTTAAATTATTTCTGTATTGATATTTTTAAGTTTTGTCACAATTTTTTTATGTTGATGCACCTAAAACAATGTGAATTAGCTTAGTTCACTCTATATATATACCAGATACCATTGTATACACACATTTAGATATACTTCAGCAGCCTATTTTTTTCCCTTAGAGGTTTGAAGCCTGCTTTCAGAATAGGCTTATCTTACCTTTGGTACCAAGTGTGTTTTTCCAAATACCTAACAACAAGTAAAATAGTGATAATTGCTTTCTTGCCACCTTGTAGTTTGGATGAAGTGCTGGATGAGATAGACACTGATGATGACGATGATGAGGAGGAGCAGGAGGGAAAAGGCAAGAAGAAAGCCAGACCTAAAGGTAAAGGCAGAGAGGAAGCCAATAAGAAGAGTACCTGGATAAAAGAGGACAGTGTAAGGCCATTATGTCTGTTATTGTTACTAGAATTATTTTATTTCTTTAATCTCAGTTTTGTTTATACTGTTATGTAGTATTAAATCGTAAGGATAGGTTTAGGTAATGGTTAAAAGGAACGTGGTCCCTCTAATAAAAGTTTGGAGCAGGAAATAAAAGCAGCTGATAAACCATGACAGTTGGCTTGTATTGTTCCAGTATGGAGGTTATGAGTGGTGCTAAATACTGTATGCTGAAGGAGTGACAAATGCGTCGTGGAGACTAAGCGTGTAATTGAGACAACGAAATGATGAGAGATTTAGAGCTTCCATAGAGTACAAGTTTTCGTTCACTTATTATAAATATATTAAAGGAGAATTATTCCGGCAATTTTTTTGTTTATTCATCTTTTTAACCATTTACAGTTGAAAACAAAGATAGCATTTCTAATTAGAAAATTTATTACCAGTGAGGTATTTTTGCCTGTAAGGGCAAATCTAAATTATATTTTATAAAGCCCATTAAAGGTGTAAATTATTTCATTATAAAATCAGTTCACATCTTGGTGTGTCTACATGATTGCCAGTGTTTTTATGGTCTCTTCAATCATTACTCTCACTGTTTCTTGGTGCAGGATGATATAGTGGATTTCCTAGACTCATCAGCTGGCCAGTCTATTGTCTCCAAGCGTCCTGTTATGAAGGCAAACTATGATAGCAGGTCCACAAAGGGTGATGCAGGTGGTGGTGGCTTCAAAGTGGACAAGATCACGGGAAAGCTGATCATTACAGACGATGGGAGTGTAGAGAAGACAGACGGCACCACAAGTAAGTGTGTTGTTATTCTTGGTCTTCTATTAGGCTAAATTTGTTTACTCTTTGGTGTTCATTAGATTTTATATTGCTGTTTGAAGGAAGTTAAATTTACTTTATAAATATTGTTTTAATTCTAGATTCTTGTAATTTATAAAGTTTTGACAATAAGTAGAAAATTAACTGTTTGGATAATTATGTTAAATTAAAAAAAAAATTATACTGTATAATTATCCTCATGCTTTGGTGTATTTGGGGAATAATGTAATTTATTAATAAAACTAAATTTGCGAATAGTGACCATTTTAAAAGTTGCTTTCTGAATCCTTTCATTGAGAGTGATATACATCAACACATACATTACTCTCAACATAAGAAAAAATTCATTTTGCAGCATATCACTTTTCTCTGTTCATCAGACTACTTTTTACCCAAGTGTGAGAAATATAGTTAAGTTGGTGCATAATAATGTTTGAATAGCAAACTACAAAATCCAAGTAATGTTTGTTAGTGTGGTACAATATATTTCAGTAGATGAAATGTAAGGGATGTTGTGTGTGTATGTATGTGATGTTACAAAGCTACTTGCTTTCTACATGTGTTTCAGTCCTTCTGAGAGTCATGTGATGGCACAGTCCTACATACAAATATTTTATGACCAGTTACTTTGATCTAAGCTACAATTGTATGTGTGTATAATGAATTGTGTTGAATAGAATTGAGAAAGTGTAGTTCATGTGTCTGGAACACATGAACTCTTTAAATAAGAAATATTGAGTGAAGGAATAATAGCATGGCTTGCTCTCACAGAGATGAGCTTCATGGAGGACATCGATGAGTTCCTTGGCATGAAAGAGGGAGCTCAGGACGGGAAGATCAAGAATCGTAAGAGGAAACTGAGTGGCGGATCCGATGAACAAACAGAACCTCCTAACAAGGTAAAATATATTGTGATCTCAAAACTCCCACTTGCACCACACTTTGCCCCACCTATATCCATTCTCACCACCACCTACTTCAAGTACCAACCCACAAATTCCCCATGCCTCTGTATGCACCACTTGCTTTCTTCACACACACCACCCACTTGCTCGCTCACTCACGTGCTCTCTCACACAACTCTCGACATCCCCCCCCCCCCCTCCTTTCCCTCTCACCTTTCTCGGTAATATACACTTCTGCACCCAACACCACCCCCCCCCCCCTTCCCTCAGAGGCCCCCCCCCCTTCTCTCTAGGGGCTCCCCCCCCCAGGGATCCCCCAACCCTGGGGGTTTGTTCAGCTTTTATTTTTAGAATTTAGTATTAGCTAGAGTACAGTAATTGTGACATCTGCCTAATTATAGACTTAAGTAGTCCTGGGTGTGACTTCATCATAAAGGTTCTTCATTAAGTAATTGGAAACCATTGTCATGGTAGTAATTTGTTCTTTGTATTACTGTAGTTTCTTTATACCTCAAGAAAAAATAGTTACTGTTGTCTTCTATGCAGGTTGCCAGTTCAGGTCCCAACACAGACAGCAAGAAGAGGGCAACCAAGAAGCGCCACGACTATGGATCAGAATTTCGGTCTAAGAAGGCTGGCGGTGACATGATGAAGAAAGGCAAAATGTCTCCATATGCCTATGTGCAGTTTTCAAAGGACAGACTAAATAAAAGGTATGGATGTGGTATGCTCTATAAAGTATATAAATTTAGGTATAAATTTTAGAAAATATGGTAATGAGGTACAATGGTACAAAAGAGTTCATTAATATAAAATCCCAGTTCTTGGTCTCAGAATTAATACTCCATCATACTTATCTTTATAATTTTGTACCAGATTTATGGTCACAATTTTCAGTTTATTAGACAAGTGTTTGATATCTTTCTTATGTTAAAGGCGTCATCTTCATGATAAAAAAAATGTTGGTGTGTCTACCACAAAACAAAAAATTAATTGCTAACCTCTCTTTGAACAAATTTCTAATATCACAGGCAATTAGGTGCTAAATATCATTCTCATTCTGTATACTCTTATCTGCTTTTTAGCACAGTGTTTTCTCCGTAGACTTGTTCATGGTGTGCCTTCACCTAGTGTTGTCAACATATTTCAGCCATTGGTAACTACCTCAGACTTTGCAGGAAAACTTCAAACATTTTAGAAATAATTCCTTATATGCTGTGGCTGTCTCATGAGATGTAAGGTGGATGACAAATTCTCACCCAACTGGTCCTGTACATCAACTTGTTTTTGTAGGGATAACCCCTACCTAGTGGGCACAGTATAATTAAAGAGTAACATTAATTCAATCTTCATAATGCTGTTCCGTGTTGAATTAATGTTAATCTTGGATATTGTGCCCACTGGGTAACCAGGTATCTAGTTACTATAAAATTGGGATCTCTGTTACACAAGCTGTATATACAAAATTAGTTTGATTTAGGCCAGGTGCTGAATCTACTGATGATGGAAAATGTCATAAATAAATGTTCTTTATGCTTGTGTTACAATATTTAGACTTGTAGCGTGACCCAGTAGTGCGGCTATACCAGGCAGATGGAATGTGGCACGCACTTCACATTAAAAAAAAAGTGCCACATTGGCCTTTACAGTGTGAAAATTGCACATAAGTGAAGGAATACTCAAGCAAAAAGTTATGACAATTTATTCTAATATCAAAATGAACAAATATGAAAAATATACAACACCCTGGAGTTGACATACTTGGCTAACACACAAGACATATAATAATCACAGAAATACATATACAAACTTACGTGAACAAAAAAATATGGGTGACACTGAAGTATTTTCATAATAACACTAAAACTTGCACACAAAGAAGCGGGAGGCAAGTGTCGTGCGGAGGTAGTAACGTTTATTCCCCTGAGCACCTGATGGGACTAATGAAGTGACCAAGGTCATGGGTATTTATACCCCTGATGATGATGTCGCATCTTTTGTTACCGAGGCTTGGAACAATGAGCCGGCGCTGTATCCGGTGGTTTACCTATATGTAACAGGGAACCGACAGGTCTTGCAGCCAGCTTGGGACTCTCGGGCTGGGTGGAGGGTGTACTGGTGGTGGTGTCCAGACATTTGTCTGGGTTGAACTCCATACCGGTCATAATATGTGATATGCAGTGATGAATAACAAAGGAAGAGGCCGTTTCCTCTGCTATGCTGGGGAATTATGACCTTTTTTTTGGTATCTGCTCATACTATGCAACAGCAGTAACTGGTAATTATGTGGATAAAAAAATTATGGTATAGTAAGTCATATTGAAAAAATTAAAAATGTACAACACTTTCATTTATGAATAAACATATCTTAGTGTGTGAATATATACCAATTACTGTTGAATGTATTCTAAGACATTGTATTTGCTCTTGCAGGAAGAAAGCCAAGTACGATGGACAGTTTACCAGCCTAGTGAGAGGAGCAAGAAAGGGTGTTGTCAAGGGTAGCAAGAAGAGAGGTCGCAACAAGAAGTAATGACAACTTGAAGTGAATTTTTTTTTTCTGAGAGGACTCCTTCATTAGCTTTCACAAGCATTAGCACATTCATGATACCATCATTGTATCATGATTCACAAACATCATTGTATAGATATATTGTTTAATTAAATATATAATATTTTATTGCATTTATTTAATTTTACCTATTATAAATTGTTCAAACTGTCTTTACTCTAAATCTTGCGATTTAACCAGTCGAAACAGTGTTGTATACAGTGGACTCCTCATTATCATCTGAATTATTGGGATCGCATATACAGTAATTTGAAATCTGTATTCCCTAGAGTGCAGGCGGGAGAGGGAGAGAATTAGCAGAAGAAAACGCCAAGCCATTACGACTATATAGCACTTGGAAGGGGTCAGAATAAAGATTTGGGATGGGATGGGGAAAGGGAATGGCGCCCAACCACTTGGATAGTCAGTGGTTTGAATGCTGCCCTGCATGAAGTGAGACCATCGCTGTACAGTCCAGTCCAAGTGGTTGGGTACCATCCTTCCCTACAGGCAGGAGAGATAATAACTTACACTTTGAAAATATTAGAGAGTGGTTCCAAGAGACAGTGTGGTAGGAAGTGCCCCATTGAAAAGAAGAGATGCAAAAGGAATGCCGAGAGAGAATTATATCAACATAAGGGCCCAGGACTCCAACATTCCATTTAAACATAAGGGGCATATCTAGCCAACCTCTTATGCTATTCGAGAGAGAATTTAATAAACATCTCCAAAGGATGTGAGTAGCTGTGTAAAACAGCCTGGTTGATCAGACCACCAATTAGTCTAAAAGTCCGGATTTTCAGCTTCCATCAATTGAAAAATTAAATACAGTATACATATATTTGCCTATATAAATATATTTATCTATGCATATTTATGCAGTGACGTCTCCGCATTTTTAAAGTCCAATAAGACATTACTAAAAAAGAAATCGGATAACAAAAAAAATATGCATGGGCACAGGAAGGTCTTGGCCATTATTGTAAACGTCAAACTTGGTAATTGTAATTGTATTGTAAACGTTGCATGGTCCCAACAGCACCCTCACTCTCCCTCACGTCCTGAGGGTCAACCTCAACCTCTCCTGCGGACCTCTTCCCTTTCACCATCTTCCTTTTTTTCGAGTATAAATAAATTTTGATTTTTTTAGGATTTGGAATTATTTTGTTGGCGGATTTGGATTTTTTTTGTTGGCGGAATTGGATTTTCTTTGTTGGCGTATTTGGATTTTCTTTGTTGGCGGATTTTGAATGTTTTGTTGACAGGTTTGGAGGTTTTTGTTGGCAAATTTTTTCGCGGATTTTGGATTTTTTAGAATTTTGTTGTTGGCGAATTTGGACTTTTTTGTTGGTAGATTTGGATTATTTTGTCGGCGAATTTGGTTTCTTTGTTGGCGGATTTGGGATTCTTATCTTGGCGGATATATATATATATATATATATATATATATATATATAATATAAATATATATATAATATAAATATATATATATATATATAAATATATATATGTATGTATGTATGTATGTATGTATGTATGTATGTATGTATGTATGTGTGTGTGTGTGTGTGTGTGTGTGTGTGTGTGTGTGCTCACCTAGTTGTGTTTGCGGGGGTTGAGCTCTGGCTCTTTGGTCCCGCCTCTCAACCGTCAATCAACAGGCGTACAGATTCCTGAGCCTATTGGGCTCTATCATATCTACACTTGAAACTGTGTATGGAGTCAGCCTCCACCACATCACTTCCTAATGCATTCCACTTGTCAACCACTCTGACACTAAAAAAGTTATTTCTAATATCTCTGTGGCTCATTTGGGCGCTCAGTTTCCACCTGTGTCCCCTTGTGCGTGTGCCCCTTGTGTTAAATAGCCTGTCTTTATCTACCCTATCAATTCCCTTGAGAATCTTGAATGTAGTGATCATGTCCCCGCTAACTCTTCTGTCTTCCAGCGAAGTGAAGTTCAATTTCCGCAGTCTCTCCTCTTAGCTCAAACCTCTCAGCTCGGGTACTAGTCTGGTGGCAAATCTTTGTGTGTGTGTGTAGGACCAGCCTATAGGAGACGGTGTACCAGGCTAGTGGGACGATGGACCAGACAATAGGAGACGGTATACATAGTCCCACTATAGCCTGGTCCACCGTCCACAATAGTCTGCTGGTGCGCCACATACAAGCTCTAGGCTGGAGAAGAAAATAACGAACTGAAAGACATTAATCCAGACCATTTCTTTAAAAAAAAATCAATATAACTCACAGAGGCATCAGTTTCACCCTCGAACGTTCGCTGTTTTGACGTTTTACAATCATACACTTTCTTCCGTCTCAACTCCACCATTTTTTCCCCATCCTAGAGCTTGTATGTGGCGTACCAGCAGGCTATTGTGGACGGTGGACCAGGCTAGTGGGACCACATCGGTGTACCAGGCTAGTGGGACCACATCGGTGTACCAGGCTAGTGGGACCACATCGGTGTACCAGGCTAGTGGGACCACATCGGTGTACCAGGCTAGTGGGACCAGACTATATATATGGGACGGTACACCAGTCTAATGGGACGGTGTACCAGTCTTATGGGACGGTGGATCAGGTTATAGGGGACGGTGTACCAGGCTAGTGGGACCAGACTATATGGGACGGTACACCAGTCTAATGGGACGGTGTACCAGTCTTATGGGACGGTGGATCAGGTTAAAGGGGACGGTGTACCAGGCTAGTGGGACCAGACTATATGGGACGGTGTACCAGTCTAATGGGACGGTGTACCAGTCTTATGGGACGGTGGATCAGGTTATAGGGGACGGTGTACCAGGCTAGTGGGACCAGACTATATGGGACGGTGTACCAGTCTAATGGGACGGTGTACCAGTCTTATGGGACGGCGGATCAGGTTATAGGGGACGGTGTACCAGGCTAGTGGGACCAGACTATAGGGCACGGTATACCAATCCAATTGGACGGATGATCAGGTTATAGGGGACGGTATACCAGGCTATAGGGGACGATGTAGTACCAAGCTATAGTGGACGGTGTACTAGGCTATAGGGACGATAAACCAGGTTATAGGGTACGGTGTAGTACCAAGCTATAGGGGATGATGGACTAGGCTACAGGGAATGGTGTAGTACTAAGCTATAGGGGACGGTGGACCAGGCTATATGAGACGGTGGACCAGGCTATATGAGACGGTGGACCAGACAACAGGGGACGGTGGACCAAGCAATAGGATATGGTGGACCAACCTAACAGGCTTCCTGCCCCAGACAATGGTAAAGACCCTTGCATGTGACGCCACGCCACCGCATGTAACATGGTAATCATGCGGTTGTTAAGGTCAAGTAGCGATGATAACCTGTAGTTTACCCGTAGTCGGTTTCCAGAGTCCCCTCTAATCTCCAAGCCGGGTCCTATATAAGCTTCCTGCTTTTTGTTTTACAAGATGCTGCCACTCATTACAAAGAATTGATCAAACCAGCAAGAGAATTGACGATCCATATGGGGTGGGTTATCACCAATTAAGGGATAAAGGTAATAAAGCATTAAACTGACTGCTGCTCTCTTTCAAGCGGTTAAGGAGAGAGAAAAAAGAAAGCCGTGGCTGGCAACTGAGCATGTGGAGGGGGCGCGCGGCCTGGTAAACAGTGATCAGTTGCTGACAGTCAGTGGTGGAGAGGAGGTGTGCTCCCGGCGCCTCTCCCTCGCCTCAATGAAGTGAATTATATATTGACATACGCCGAGTCACGGACGCTACGCAATAGATTGGAGTCGTCCCTAATATAACAACCAACGCGTTATCAATTCTAACGTCAGTGAAGTGGTTAGTGCTGGAAGGAACTACTCATCTCGCCAAGTGCCTCTTGCGTCAATGCAGTGATGATAATTTGCGTTATGTGTTGAAAGTTACATATTTACCCATCAACTTTATTCGTAATTCACTGTGTTGTAAGTACTGAGGACTCGCGTCGTCCCAGGACTATCACGGACCCGTTGCTAGAGCTATGATCAGCATAATTGATAATTCCATACAAGTTTGTGTAACCGCAAATTATATGAAGTAGACGAGAGGTGAGAGACAGAAACTTAAAAAGTCTTATTGAAGACACAGGCTTAATATAATACGGCCTAGATGCCACATAAATGATCATATAGGAATAGACTTAAGGCACATAATAGTACATTAGATAAGACTAGCCGATTCTATCTTAGGCAAGGTTAGATGCATGTAGCATTATAACAGACTGAAGCAGGCAATCAAACGGGACGCAAATAAAATAAAATTTAATATTCCACTAGGCTACGCCATAAAATGCTACGAGACATGTATAATATATTCTACTAGGACAATATAGACAAGATTGAGGCAGGTGACGAGCAGTATAGAAGTCACAGCAGTAATTTAACGTTTTAAGCCAGGCATGAAGCCGGAAGTGACACTGAGTAGGAAGATTAATTAAGAAGTACGTAGATAAGATAAGACATTTGGGCTGGGCTGGGGAAGGAAGGGGGGGGGGAGTGTAATAAAGCGTTATATCTTCCTGCAAGGTTTGGCTATAAACTTTAGTATTAAAACTACTAAATAGTCAAATTAGCGAGTCGTAGTGTTAACAGACTACAACAGCTTCCCCGCCTGCTGTTGTAGACTCCATATACTCTTGCCTCGCACATTGACACTTCCAGTAGGAATACTTTTAGAGTAATTTATGTTTAATGTCATTTGTTCAGTTTATATGCAATAGTTTGATATTATTTATGAGCTATTTAATTAACATAAGCTCGGAGGACTCGGAGGACTTAAAGGAAACAAAAAAAACGGAGAGGCGTGGAACCGGGAAGTTTTATATGGAGGTATTTGCCATATACGGGTCGGTTTTGGGGAAGATGAGGGGGAGAGGGGTGGGGGGGTAGTATTGCAGAATACAAAGTTTATCTTGAAATTGTATAGAACGGTAGGCAGTGTGCCTGACAGGAAAATTACTGTAGTAAATACAGTGTTGTGAAACAAAACTTCGTTGTCAGTAATTTATTTCTCTGGAAAGTGACAATAATTATTAGGATTAACGTATATTGTTCTTCCCTTGCAAATAGTTTATTATGATGTTTAACGAAATTTAATTTTGTTTTCTTTAGTTCACTTTCCTAGCAGAGGCTAGGTGAAAGCTAGCAAATTAAGAGGTTGATCTTAATTATGTAACAAGTTAACGTTGGGAGTTCATGCAAAAGCTCTGTACATAACTTTAACCATAGATCATTATGCTCCTCATTGAAAATTGGAACCCTGTGACATCCACATTGCTTACGTGAAGAGGCTAGAGACGAACACAAACTTCGGCTGAAAAAAATTATGAACGGCACGGGATTAATATAAGAAAGCAAGTTAACAAGGCTGTAACTAGGACTAGCCAGGCTAGTAACTAGTAACTAGTGTGTGTGTGTGTGTGTGTAGCCTCCTCCACACGCAAGCTACAGCCAGTAGCTTGGGTCTTGTTACTTCCTCATCTCGCTCCACGCACCACCACCTCCACCAGAGGCTGGAGGCTGAGGAATGTAACATAAGCAGGTGGGTTGTGTTGATCTTGTAGTGTTGCATGTCTCAGACGCTGGTAACCCCAGCAGATGGGTTTTGTGTTGATCTTGTAGTGTTGCATGTCTCAGGCGCTGGTAACCCCAGCAGGTGGGTTGTGTTGATCTTGTAGTGTTGCATGTCTCAGGCGCTGGTAACCCCAGCAGGTGGGTTGTGTTGATCTTGTAGTGTTGCATGTCTCAGGCGCTGGTAACACCAGCAGGTGGGTTGTGTTGATCTTGTAGTGTTGCATGTCTCAGGCGCTGGTAACACCAGCAGGTGGGTTGTGTTGATCTTGTAGTGTTGCATGTCTCAGGCGCTGGTAACACCAGCAGGTGGGTTTTGTGTTGATCTTGTAGTGTTGCATGTGTCAGGCGCAGGTAACACCAGCAGGTGGGTTTTGTGTTGATCTTGTTGTGTTGCATGTCTCAGGCGCTGGTAACCCCAGCAGGTGGGTTGTGTTGATCTTGTAGTGTTGCATGTGTCAGGCGCTGGTAACCCCAGCAGGTGGGTTGTGTTGAACTTGTACAGTTGCTTGTATGAGACACATAGGAAACATAAGCAGGGGAGTTGTGTTGATCTTGTATAGTTGCTGAGGTGGGTTGTGTTGATCTTGTAGTATTACATTTATAAGGCACACTAATAACTATTGGTGTAACTCGATTACCTTCGATTGAAGGTCATCAGGTGTCAACATTCAGTTTCTTGTAAACTGCGATATATTTTAGTAATTCATATTTTCTAACTAGTACTTTTGTGCTGAGAAATATATAGAAATATGCTGCCCGAAACGCTACGCACATTAGTGGTTTTGCAAGAATGTATGTACTCTCATAACTCAATGTATCTTCTTGTATATAAATAAATAAAATCAATAAACATTGTCTAGCAGAATGGTACACATTATCACAGCAGTTTCCAGGTGGCTTACATATATCATTCTACATCCTGCCACCAATTTCATATGGTGGCAGATATGTTGGTATTAATGACGCCACTAGTGGAACATTATAATGCTATCCATGAGTGGCAATTGCTTATTTTCCAGTTAAGCAATCAAATTTAAGCCTTCATTATTATAACTAATAATAGCCCCTAATACCTTTAATTTTTATATGTACAGTATTCTTAATTTAACTATTGTAAAATAAATTGATTCCAGGAAATTCCATTGACTCCCATTGCTAGGCTAAGCTATTTGATTTCTATTTTTTTTCCTAAACACATAACCTAAGATTTTTTAAAATAAAGTTACAGAATCTGTTGACTCTAAAAACTAAATTCTAAGAACCCCCACTGCTCTATGTGTTTTAACTATTCCGTGGGTAATTACATGACTACTTAACAGACAAATATGTTTGCTAGCCATTTAAGTAGAATATGTACCAATTGTGATAATTGATATCCAGTTAAAATGGATTAGGAACTGTATTGCCAAAAACCATTCACCTTAAAAAAATTTAAAATTAAAATTGTTTTTTTTTTTGTTGTATTAGCCTATTTCAATAAATATACTGCAAGAAAATCTATGTGTAAAGAAGGATGTTTTTTGACAAATACAGAACTTATAACAACCAAATCAACAATACTAAATAGGCAACAAATTCCTTTAGTTGGAGGGCGAAAATTGGCCGAGACTCATGCGATGGCACTACTGTCTCTTAGGATCATAAAATGCACAGCTACTTTAACTCACCTGCTTACTCCTGGGTTGTAACCCCTGGGCAGGTTGGGGCGTTTGGGCACCGTTCCTTCAATTGTTCGCTCCTATACACCGACAGTAATTGGAGAACTAGATGTAAAACGATTGAAGGATCGTGTTCATGGCGCGCCAGCCAGGGCGGTTACGCTGTCACCCCTAATACAATCACCCTGATCAACACTCACCATGGAGACAGCTCTGCCTCAAGGGGAACTTTTATAGAGCGGGCTTGCCGCAGGCTAAAGCCCCAGTCTGGTTGTAGTTTTTTTTAACAAGCTACTCACGCTACACACTCAATATACTGCTACCCTATTATATTATGAAGGATTAGAGTGTATAGATCAAATGCGAGCTATGAGCACATCTAATGTACCCATCTCAAGTTCAAGTATGTTTATTGAGATAAAGAAATACATCTCAAAGGGATAGAGTAGCTTAGGCTATTTCTACCCCCCTACCCATCTCACTGGATGGTTAGTCATACATGGAATCAGAAGTAAACATGAGACGAGAGTTGATAATAGTGCAGGACGGACCAAAAAGTCGTCGTTTCTTAATTTTCTGACGTGTGGTTTGGTCATCATATCTCCAGCCACGTTATTGTGACTCATCGTCTGCATGCGAGTGTAGTCTACTAACCTGCAGTAGCAAACTCTGGGTAGAGCACAAGAATGTCCTCCAAGTTCAAGTTCAAGTATGTTTATTGAGATAAGCAATAAATACATCTCAAAGGGATAGAGTAGCTTAGGCTATTTCTACCCCCCAATGTCCTCCAATATTCGTGAGTATGTGAAATATTTACAGATCTCAAAGTATCTCATACCATTTGGTTTGAAGTCGTTGATAACAGGGCATTCAGAAATATAATGGTGGAGACTGTGTCCTAGCTCTTGATCACATAGTTTACCGTTGTAATACTCTCCATCAGGGGATTCACTACCTGCAGCCGCCTGTCATAGGTATTGATATCCTAGCCTAATTCTGTCAAGTAGAATGTCCCACTGTCGGGTGGATGTTTCGGACGGTCCGTACGTATAGTTATCGGTTCTAAACATAACTCAATACTTGCGCTTTATTCCTATTGAGTGTTGGTTATTGCTTTTCGGTCGTCCCCAATTTTCCTTAATTAGTGCGGTCTTTACAACAGAGTTTGGTTACCAGAGGTCTAGCTCAAGTTCAGGCATTGCCAGCCCATCCTCCGAATATTGGGAGGTAAATGTAACGGCACAAGTAAGTGTAATTATGTACTATTCCTAGCAGTCAGGAATTGTACTTATTACACTTAGTATTAAACCGTACTGTCAAATAATCACCAGAATCTCACCAAAATATTGTGAATATTTGAGTTTACCTGAGAAGCTGAATAGAAAACCACGACCTAACCTAACCACCTTAGTGAATGAGGACAAGCATTTTATTGCTTCTTAATTACAATTAGTACTAAACCTATAGCTATATTGATATTACAGTTTTATAAAACAAAACTAAAATCTTTCAATAAATTATAAAGTAACTCAGGATATTTTAAAATTTTGTATAAAATCTCTCTTGTTTAATAAAACTGAAAAAGAAATTCTTTATATATAAAACTTGTGAATATAGAATTGAACATAAAAACTTCATCCTAAAATTCTGAGTGTTTTAACAGAAAACGAAAATATATATAAGGAGGTAAATGTAACTGCACAAGTAAATGTAATTATGTACTATTCCTAGCAGTCACGAATTGTACTTATTACACTTTGCATTAAGGATGCGTTGCAGCATCGTACATGCATCTTCAGATGCATGTGCGTATCGTCCAACGCGAGCATTCCCAACGTCAAGAAACTGTCGTACTATCCTTATCCTTATATGTTGGGCCTTATCCTAACCTATCCAGCCAGCCTCATCATGCTGGACAACGCCTATGTATGCTGCAGCTAAAAAAAAGATTTGACAAATTAGTCTTTTTTCCCGCTGACAGTTTGATACATAATTTAATAGTTCCGTTTAGAAACTATAGTTGACATTTCCGCACTGATATCTTAAGTTCTGAAAAAAGATAACATTTTTGAAAGGATGTGAAACATTTAATTCACAGTTTGTCGAACCTGACGGGAGGATGGGCAGACCCAGTTTACCCTTGTTTACACCAGGGTTTGTGTAATTGATATGAATATGCGAAGGAGACGGAGGCGGGCCGGCTGGCAACAGCAGCCTAAGACTGCTGTTGGGCTCACCATAGCCCGTGCTACTTGCAACTTTTTGTTCCAGGTAGCGAATCTTTAACAACAACACACAGCAGCAGCAGCCTAAGAAACATTCTACGACTCAGGTGGTTACCGCAGCCATGCAGTCCTCATGTCATACAAAGAAACGTATAAAAATTGTATTAACATTGTGTACTGTGTTGTATATAAACACTACACATATTGTGGCGAATACCGGACAGAACCTTTAAGTCTTGTAAGTACAATTTTACACATAAAGGAAATAAACTTATCCAAAGTTAAGCTGAAATATCGTACGCCAATGTATAGCCCAATGTAGATGTAATTGTAATATCAGTCACATTGTCTTTCATTATTTACAAACCTCTACGTATACGCTTGTATAGCATTTAGACTGCGCGTTCTAACTTTAAATTCTTTTTAGCGCTTTATAGCCAATGTTTTTGTAGCCTGTGATCCATCCATATTTTTGACTGGGCAGCACAGCGACATACTTGCTTTTTTTTGCAGGGTCGGCGTTCGATCCCAGATGGTCCAAGTGGTTGGGCACCATTCCTTCACTTCGTCCCCATATTTTAGCGCTTATCCATTCTCATATTCCTTCCATGTATATGTGTATATATATATATATATATATATATATATATATATATATATATATATATATATATATATATATATATATATATATATATATATATATATATATATATATATATATATATATATATATATATATATATATATATATATATATATATATATATATATATATATATATATATATATATATATATATATATATATATATGTATATATATATATATATATATATATATATATATATATATATATATATATATATATATATATATATATATATATATATATATATCAGCCAAATACCAACTCCAACCTATCACCTGGCAAAAAGACTTAACGAACTCCTAAGCCCATACACTCCAAGCAACTATTGTCTACAATCAGCAGCAGATTTCCTAGATTTAATCAAAACTACACACCCCGATGGAATCACTGCTTCCCTGGACGTTGAATCCCTATTTACCAACGTCCCAGTCGAC